GTGGCAGAATTTTTGCTTGAATAAAACCCATAGGGTGTAAAATTTGTGGATTATAAAGATGTCTGCCTAAATCATACCCATTTCCCCACAAGTAACMGGCAGAATTAAGCAAGGAGGGGACATGGCCTCTCCTGGCCAGCCTTTTCTGTGCATGGACATTCCTTGCACTGTGCAGCAGGCCCCAGCCCGCTGCCATCAGTGTCACCTGGGGCCCAGCTGTCACTCAGGCCCCAGCACAAGTGCTAATGGGAACAAGAAGGTGACAGACCTGCAGGCCAACTTTTCACAAGCTGCTGCCTTAGAGGCCCCAGGGCTTAAGAACAACCTCACTGGAAAAGCACCTGACACAGCAAACAGACCTAAGTGACAGTCTTGCTGCAGGAGTGCTTCAGGGACACTCAGGCCATGGCTTGAACAGGCCCTTTCCACTCCCCTGCATCACCTCCCCTGGAAAGGGTTTACTGGGGTGATGGGGTGAAGCTGACTGGTTGTGCCCCTTGGTGGTGGCAAGTCTGACCTGTGTCATTGTTTCCTACACAAATACCTAGTGTGAAATATGAAGAACAAAAACAATTTCTGTGAGTTAGTATTTCTAGTGATGTAAATCCATACGGACCATACCAAACCTCAACCCATTTCTCCAAGCTGAGATATTGTCGGAGATTGCCTCTTCTAACAGTTCAAATCCTCTCTGTACACGGACATTATTGATAAAAAGAATATTTTTCACTCCACAGTTATACACATCTGTGGCTTGCTCTTCTCAGAGCACTGCACAGGGCACAGCTGGACTCTCAGTATTGCAGTGATGAGTTTAAGGCATTTGACCAAACTGCCTGTGCGATCTGAAAGGACACCACGACTGTTGTTACTGGATGGAGAAATGGCTGCATGTAAATTATGCCTATGTGCAAAAATTCAGCCCTTCAAAGATACTTCTAGTTCTCTTGCTTGGACATCAGAAAGGTTTTGCATTGATCAAAGTTTTTAGACTTAAAGGTCGCTTTTTTTTCTGTTCTTGCTCAGATAGTTTATTTATTTATAGAAAAACCATAACTACTTATAAAGACCTTCCACATTTCTTGTTCTCTGTGAGAATGGTTGTCAGAGCTGTGTCTGTTTGCAGATTTGCATTGTGCTGAGAAGCAGGGTACTAAAAAATAAAATCCCTGACTGATGCAATTTATCAGATTAAGCCCTAGTGACAATGCAATTACATCAGAAAAAAAAAAAAAAAGTCATTCCTGGTACGGCTTTCCTTGCTTACAAAGGTTTCCGGACATTAGTATAAATCATGCCCTTGCATGCACAGCTACATCACATTCTGTGCTTTGTCACACAGGTACCATCCTGTGTTCCCAGCAGGCAAAGCACTTCAAACCCTGGGTACATTCTTCCCCAGGAGGGTGCAGGGCATCCTGTGACCCCTCTGCTGAGCAGTTCATTTCAGCTGGTACTGCCAACTCCTAATGAAATAAAGATCAGCAAGCCAACCACAGCCCTCTTGGTGCTTGCAATTACACAGCAACATTAATGACCCTGCTGCAATCCCTCCCTTCCCGTCCTTAGTCCCATGTTCTGCTTCCTCTCACCACAAAAGAAAGTGCACTCTGGCACAGGCAACACCCTGTCCTGCTGCTGGCCATCTCCCCAGCAAGGATGTTTCCCATGCTTCCACTTCCAAGATTTCCTAAGCCCACAAAAAGCAGAATGCATTCTCCTGGAAGTCATTCTTAGGAATCAAATTAATCTTAAGCAACAACCTGAAAACCAATTGAAAATTAGCAACCTTAGCCAGTAGCGAACATAGGCATTTCTCTGAACTAAACCAACCCATGATCTTGTTTCTTTTTGTTAAGAACACAAAGTCTAAGAGAAAGACATTCCTCATTAAAGCCATGGCACTGAAATACCCAAATTAGGTGAAAACATTTGTGTATAGCATTCCAGAAAAACTCCTGTTGTGACAACAATGCTATAGGCTCTTCTATGCTGCTTCCTCCCAATAGTAAAATCTCCTCCTACTACCAGGATGAGCAATGTCAGTGAGAGTGCAGCTGTGCTGATGTCTCTAAACCACAAGCTTTTGCTAACACTGACGTGTCAGTCCTCCATCCTCCCACCCAACCCACATGCACAAAAGCACGTACGCACCTTGACAGGTATCAGGTAGCCAAAGTCTTGCATTTTCAGTCTTGCAGGCCCAAAGGATTTTCTTCATGCCAAAACCTGCCCTGTGCCTCTTCACTAAAGCTGCAAGACTTGACCTAGAGAAGGGAGGCTTTGAAGCTTTTATTGTGCTTTGCAAGCCACGATGACATGAATCACATTGACTGGTCGTAACAACTTTACACATGCAATGACCAGCTGAACACCAGAGGCTGTTTGGGACCCATAAGGGAGCAACACAGCCCCCTCAACCAACTCARCTTGGAGGCACAGGATAGGCATTTTGCTGCTTCAGTAACAAAGTATGTCTTAGCAATAGGACTGATTTTGTTTGTTATGAGGGGTTTTAAAGCTATTTGCAAAGATAATTGTCCAATGAGATCATTTTTGTACTAACCCTTTTCTGAAATTCACTGGGCTAGAAATGTGGTTTCTTCTGTGAAACACAGCTGTCTTTGTTTATTAGACTCTTAACTATTACTATACTTGTATTTATTATACTTTTATTATTTAAAAAGGAAAAAAAGCCCAAGCATCTCCATGAGGCAGTTCTTTCCATGGACTTGTGTCCCATCCTTCATCAACTTGGTCTAAGAAGGCAGAAGTTCCAACATGAGCTTTTGCTGCACTGTGGGTGATTTAGGTTGTCTTCCTACATGAATTGCCTGGAATTTAATACAACATGAGCACATGCGGGGAGCTTTTCCTCGGTCCACACCAGTTTCTCCCTCCTTCCCCATACTTATTTTCACGCTACTGATTGAAGTTAATTTCCTTACACCATCCAACAGGCTGAAAAGCTATTAGGGACATGGGCATGCACCATGATCATAGAAACGTCCTGTCTGTAAGAACTCCCCCTGCTCTGCCACCCCTTCAGCAGCCTCATTTGCTGGAGTCTCTGTTAAAGGGCACACAACAGATTAGCAAGTTAGGCTACTGAGTTTAATTTTGAAAACAAGTTAAAGATCATACAAAGCTTGCTTAAAAGTTAACAGGTTTCATATTTAACTTAGGGAGAACAGGAACAGCAAGCTCATGAAAAGGTACAAAACATCCTTAAAAGTACTTTGGCGTGAATCATACAGGGCTCCAAAGAACGCATCAGCAACCTTGTGCTGACATATACTTGACCTTTGTTGCAAGCACACAATTGCAACATCCTGAATGTCTGTAGCTTAAGTTTTCCCAGGGGGTTTTCCAGCTTGCTTGCAAATATACCAAAGTGTAACTATGTAAATACAATTTATACAGGAACATCTAGCCTCTCTGCATGTGAGGCTTTATTTGATGTTCACGATTGTCATGCACCATCATAAATGTATTTAAAAAGTCCAGCTTTGAAATATAGCAGTTATACTTTTAATTTTACATATAATACACTTACACCAGGACTAATTTGTAAGTTAATCCACATGCAGATGAAGAAAAAAAAGTATTGTGTATTTAGGAAACTTCCTTTAAAACAAATTATTTTATCTCAATCCAAACATTCACAATAGCAGGAAGCTGGATCATAACATGCTTACAATTGTATAACAGCTCCAAAAGAGTAAAGCATCCTCCCAACTGTATTAAGAAAAGATCCTTTAAAAGATAAAAAATGAGATTAGTACAAAGCCTCTTGACAGAATTAACCTAAGACAAATGATTTGGACACCTATGGTGCATACTATTTAAAAATAGGTTTAAACAGCTTTGGTGTTTTTTTTCAAATATGCAATGATACTATTCAACGTTCCTACTTTTCTAATGAATCAATGCTCAAAACTTGGCCAGAAGACAAGTCAGTTTCCATGTCATGGAAGCTCTCAAGTGGATCTGGGGGTAGATTTTCCAGCCTTGTTTTTTCAGTGTTACTCCTTTTTTTTCCTGTTCTGTATTTTTTTCTTGCAAAAAGCTTCAAAACAGCAGGTATTATGATATATCTTTTTCTGCACTCTCCTCTACAAAAGTTGATATATAAAGAACCAAATCATATTAGGAAAAAAAAAATCAATCTTGCTTTAAAAATAGCAGTTTTAAGTGTAAATGGCATGACATAGAATGGTATTGGTTGCATTTGAGCAAGCCCCAGATTAACTGGCAAAGTGCAGTGGCACAGGCTGGCAGCAATGCCATGATGTGGAACAAAGGAAATGGTAAAGTCCTGCAGGTAGTGGACACTCCTGGCTCTCAGCTGGATCAGCCTGACTCACAACATGTGCTGGATGATGCCCATCATTTGACAAACACTCAGGACAGAGATTTCAGACATTAACACTGGGTTAGTTTAGCTTTGGGCCTCCACTCTGATGGTATGTATTGTGGAAACACCCATCCAGAATTTAAGCAAGCAGCACAATATTGCCTGTAAATGAAAAGGGATTGAAAAGCATGCTTCCCTGCCCATACTTCATTTCTCAGCCATCACATTTTCTATCTTTGAATAGTGTGAAACAACACTTCAAGTAAAACACATTAATTGTAACTGTAGTCTCCTCCTCTTAAAACTAATCCAGCAGTAGCAGAAGAAAACACAAGACYTTTAGACAAACAGGTTTGTAAGGTTTATTTTCCATTGCACATACATGGATTATATACAAGTTAGTAACATAAGTTACTTCTTAATTTTCTAAAAGATTGTTACAGCACTTGCCATTTTAAAACATCAAGTCAGAAATCAATCTAAAAAGGTAAATATGACAATATTTTAAAAACAAAACAAATTGCACTTGGTTAGGAGAGTCAAATACAGATTTGTCTACAAGCTGTAACAAACTATATAGCAGGTAATATTACAGTTAGAAGTAGCTCTTCCAGTCCATTTGTACATTAATATTTTTTTTCAATTTTACTTATTTAAAAACTGGTGGATATTTCAAAGACTTCCTCTTCTTCCTAATATTCAAGATTCATCACGTGAAACGCACTAGCAACTAAGTCTTTATACAATTGCTATCCAAATATAAGAACACCACGCCTGAAAATAAGGAGAAAACTTAAATGTGCTGATTTTACATGTATGAGATGGAAAGTATGGAAGGTATTCAGCAAGAAAGCCCTGTCCACTACTTGCATAAAAGAAGATTTTAAAAAATAACCACTGCACACAATACAAATGGTGGGGTCATACCATAATTTTAAAGTCTCCTGTAACTATTCCTCATTACTGCTCACAGATGAGTGTTTCCATAGCAAACTTGTTCTCAAAGTGTCGAATCTTTCGGCAATTGATGGCTTCACGCTTCTGAATTCCTGTTTTATTGGTAAAGAACAAAAGTGTCAAGAGAAGAAGGGCTAAATGAGGTGCATCAGGGACAGAAGTTTTATGTTTGCTATGATAAGGTATCACCAGAAATCACAATTACCCCTTTTCAACCCTTCCCTCCAAGGAAACACATGCAGGGGCACATTTAGACACAGAACATCAATAAGCAGGGAATGATCCTGAAAGTGTGGTGAACCAAATCACAGTATTGGTTTAGTGAAAACCAGCCTGCCAAAATCCACCACTGGCTAGTTTTTAACCCAGAGTAGTTCCAAATCTCCCTGTGTGTGTCTGTAAAAATGCTTGTGGTGATGTGAGAGAGGGAACAGCAATGGAATAAACTCCCTCAGGCAAAAAGAGTGGACCTGTAGTATTTAAACATAATCTTGCATGCAGAGAAGGCAGAATTTAACCAAATTTTAGGATAATTTATGCTCACTGCCAACCTATGCTCATGATTTATTACTACAGGATACATATACTGAGTTTTTAATTGATTTTGCTATTAAGAACTTTTAATTTTCAAACATCATTTTAAATTGCTTTTATAAAATGTGTTTCTTCTCCTTGCTTCCTTAAGCAGTCAGGTCTAACAATATGAGAGAAGCAATTAAACTGCTTCGATGTGCACTTGCACACCACATACAGATTAAACAACAACAAATCAAACAACCAAAAAGCGAAAAACCAAGCTACCAAAAAGCAAATCTTAGTAATACTAGAATCCATGAAAACATACTAAGCACTATAATTTTCCTGTGAAGACAGCTCTTACTAACATTTCACTGACACAAATAGGGAGATGTGAAAAATGTATAGATGGCTTTAATGAAAAGAAGAACCTCCAATTCTGCACTTGGATGACAATGATAAAGCTTCTTATTTATTAAGGGTTTTTGCTTGGTTAGGGGTGAAGGGGGCAGTTTAGGGTTCAAGATTGAAGAAGAGCATCAATGAAAGCCTGGACTCCAGAAAACACACCCCAGCGTACACACACTCATTTTGGCACTCCTAGCTCACTGGGGCCTTGAGCATTTTTGCACCCTGACATGACTGATTTTCATACCTAGACAAGAAAATATCAAACATACTGAGGCCCACAGAGCCAGTTACTGCAACAAGCAATCCTTGCTTTAATTAGAGTTTTTGAACACACTCAGGCATCTCTGAAGTTTTTGCCAGCACACAAGGTGGCAGGAGGAACRTTTACCTTTCATGGCTTCTTTGCGCTGTAGTTTATAGGTTTCCTTGCCACGGCAGAGGCGGTAAATAAAGAATCCCAGCTGATCCACATTTTCAATGCGATCAGTAACAATCATCTGCTCATGAATCAAATAGGACTGAGGCAAGTATGTTCCAGCCTGTTGAACAAAAATGCAACAGCTCTGTCAAAAGCCATCTCTTCCTGCTCTAAATACACAAGAAACACTTTGCCATGTTTCTCTTCAACATATCTTCAAATTATTTCAAAATATGTATTATACGCAGACTTTTGTTCTACACAAACTACACAACAGTACAGAAATATATAATGATTATATTCAAAAAGGTCACAGAACTTCCACTGAAGCTAACATCCACTGCTCTCCTCCTACAGTAACATCAGGAGGTTTTTTTCCACGGGTACCCACTGTCATGGGTCAGTCCTGCACTTACCAACCAAAGTTTTCACTTAATTAGTAACAGCTCACCAGACTACAGTGGGAATGACTGTCAAGCAGGAGTTGGCAGAAGCATGATCTACAAAGACATACTTGTGCTGATGAAGCAGGCCAGCTGCAGTATAGTCCAGCAGCAGTCCATGGGATTGGGAAGCCTTGAACTTATTCACAGCATGGGTCACTGCTCTCAAACCAAGGCCAAAACTAGATCACCTATCCCCGTAAGTCATCACGGCAACTCCCACAATTGTTTACATGGAAAGGTATTACAAAACCATGGTAGGACATCAGGTGTTTCAAGGCAATACACTGAAAAAGCGGGGAGAGCCTTGATGACATGCAAAGGCTTCCCAAGCCTTCTCCAGTCCCTCTAGTATTATTTTGCCACAGGTGAAATGATGGAGGAATCCAGCTCTGTGCCACCTCACTGTACATAGCTGAAGATGCAGAGACTTAGCTGCCAGCCAGTTTTCTAATACCATCACTATTAAAAAATGATTTATTTTTAAAAATATTAAGACACCATGTGTTGTGGGTTAAGATTTCTCCTTTTGTTTCCTTTCTTGGGGAATTTTTCTTTCCCATTTTATTGCTGGGATACAYTKATTGCCAGGTCACATTCTTTTGATGGGTGGGTGATTAATGAAGACAATGAGACCTATGCCCCACCTAAACAATCTTGCTAAATACTGGGAGGGGGTGTGTGTGTGTGTGGTGGGGGGTAACTTCACTTCCTGCCCTGCTTTGCTGAGAGAAGGAGGTCGACCTGCTAGCTGCTCGGCGGAGAGCTCGCCTGCTCTTCTTCTGCAGAGCCCAGCATCTCTGCTCGTTGGTTCCTTTTTGCTGCACTGTGATCTTCTCCCCTGTGCCTTGCCGGGGACCCCTGCGATTCCAGCTTCAGGGGTGAGCTCTGCTTCACCCCATCTCACAGCCACCGGATTCTGCTCGTCTTTTTGCTGTCCTGGGGTTTCTTGCAGTCCAGAGGAGAACTGAGATCRGCGTTTCCGCTGTGAGTTTGTAGAGGAACTTTTCTCCATCTCTCCCTGCCGTTCTGTGTCCACCATTGGCGCCGCGGGAGATCTGAACCAGCTGGGACACACGCCACAGCGCCCCATACAGCCACCGGGGAATMATCACACCCGTCCTGCCYGTCCGGGAGCCAACAGCGCCCCTGCCGACTGGAACTGTAACTGCACCAAAGGGGAGGCTGTGTCTCCGTAAGGCTGTCACTGGGTTTGGGACTGGGCTGGTTGTTGCTATTGTTATAGTTACTTGTTTCACCTTGTTATACATATTAGTAAAAACAGTTATTGYCTTTTACCCATATTCTTGCTTGAAAGCCCATGATTTTTCAAAGCTATAATAATTTGGAGGGAAGGGGGGTCCCTACCTTCATTGGTAAACACCTGTCTTTCAAACCAAGACACCATGTTTAGAATGTTTCTAATTTATAGCAGTGTAGAGGGTGTTTCCTGCTTTCTAAAACTAAAATGATCACTTATTGTGAAAATAAATTCAGCTTCTGTTGTGAAATATTGGTGTTTTTTAGGGGCAATAAACAACTTGAAATTTCCACTGCAAAACAATATCATCTTTTCAGCTCCAGTGACATGATGAGAAGCTGATTAAATGCTATTCTTCTCAGTAAAAAAAGGCTCTATAAAATTCGCTTTCAATTTTGCATGAATGAATAAACTATATCTTCTTCAAGTCATGCTATAAGGAAAACAACAGCCTTTTTTTTTCTTTAAAAAACAGCTTAGCAAACATTGCTCTCCCAAATTATCCCGCTCATTATTTTGTAATTAAATCTCTGTAAATTACTGTATCTTAACTCTCAGCCTCTCAGATCTCAAGAGAGAGCCCTGAGGGAGTGCCAGCAGCAGTGCAGGCCACTGGCAGGGTGGGCAGCAGTACTGAGGACTTGGGGCCAACCTCCAAGGACATGCCTGGGCTATTGCTCTCCAAATCACAGGACCTTCTGGACCACCCCTGGACTCAGCCTACTCAGCCCTCCTTGGATGGGACAGGAGAAAAGGAAGCTCAATGAAGAAATCTCCTCTTCCCAGCTCCAGCTGCTGCAGGAGCAATTATCCAGCACTGGGATCCAGCATAGCCACAAATATAATCTTTGAGACATCCGGTGCACTGTGTACAGTTAAAATTAGCCAGTTGGCTCAGCAGTGGGAACAAGGTGGATGAGCAAACATATCTGGGTTTCAGTTTTGCTTCCCAAAGAAACAAAGGAGGCCTTTTGAATCTGCACATTCAAGCAAACTGCATCAGTATATAGAAATGTGGTTCTTTAGGCTAAAATTATGGTGTTTCTCAAAGATCAAAACAGAGCAGGGCACCTCCATTTTCATAAAATGACCTCTGTATGTGTTCAGAGCTCATTTTAATAAAACTAGCACATCAATTTCTTACTTTTTTTTTTTTTGCTGGTGCAACCAGTGTGACTGCAGGACAGTATTTACTCATTTTGTTATCTGCACCATAGTTTTCCAAATTTCAGTTACAAACATTTAGCCTGATTTTCTGTGACATCAAATGCCCACAGCTTTTTGTTGATACAATGAGAATTAAACAGATGTCTCATAAAATTAGGGCACACACTGTTGGGGACAATGATCAAAACAGTTCGCTTTTGCACAGATTTTCAGTTAAATGTGTGATGCCTGGTTATCCTCTTACTCGTAAACCAAGCATATTTGAATCAGTACTAATGACAAACTAGGAAATTAACAGATTTTAACAGTGGAATTTGTGTGATCTAAACATGGAAAGAAAACAACACAGATAAAGTAAAAAAAAAAATGGAGTCACTGAATTTTACAGACACCACATCATCCTTGTGTACAGAAAATGAAAGTGTGGTTAAATAGCCAGTCTCAAAATAGGAAGCAAAAAAGCAGCAGAGGACTTACTTGTGGTAACTTTTGACATGAAATTTATTTATATATATAAACCACTTAGAAATGCTAAAATGGTTGCTGTAATCCTAATTCCAAAGCCTTTTTTGAAAGATGCAAACATGAAGATGATGCATTTCTAAAGTTACAAAGATGATGCGTTTCTGAAGTTACAAAAGCTCAGTAAAATATTAAAACATTTTCCCCAGATCTTAGACACATCTCATCAGTTCTCTTTCTCACCTGGACTGTTCTGCTATTTTGTGAAGAAACCAGAAAGCCAGAACCCAAGGTAAATACTATTTAAATCTGCATTAAAAGCATACATCATGTAAAAGGCACAGCACATCCACCGCATTTCATGTACATCGCCCTCAAGCCACTGGATTGAAATGGGGGCCAACACTAAGGACCAGTGCTTTAAACAATGCCCCTGTTAAAAGGATTTCCCTGCCTTACCTACTTTATGCCTCTCAACTAACCAGTCTTAGCCCTGTGCACACACAGAAATTGTAGTCACAATGGATTATAAATTTAAAAACATTCAGACTACTATCAAATACTCCAGTTACACCACATTTATACGATTATGTCAGCCAGATTTACAGCACTGAAGAATAAAATCAGACTTTTTTTGCCTTCCTCTGAATTAATAATTCCTTCATGACTGTAGATCATTAACTAAGTAGGTTATAGACCTTTTTTTTTTCTCTTTGCAAAGACCTCTAGCAATCATATGCCTTGTGTGAATATTAGAGTTCTGCAGAAGGAAAAAAAGAGAAAAACTTCTACATTTTCCCCACCATAAAAACAAATTACTTGTGATTTATTCATACCTTGATATTGATAAGCAGCTCCAGGAAATTTTTTGGTGGCATAACAACTGAAGTGTTCAGAGGAATCACATAGCATTTATCCAGGCTAAGGTCAAGATAGGCAGTGAGTCTCTGTTGAGAAAACATTTACTTTAATCAAAATAACAAGAACATCAGAAAACTGACAAACACATGTTGCTGAACCGCTATTGTCTCGTGCTGTTCTTCAAATTATTCTTCTGTTCTGGAAAGTCTGTCCAACCAATTCCAGTCTGAGGGTAAGTAAATGCAGAAACAAAGGGCAGCCTTGATGACAGTTTATATCTTTGACAGGGATTTGGGCAAGGCAGCAGGCAATGATAAGCAGCTCAAATGCACTCTAGCACGGAAACCACAAAGGTGTATCTGAGCTGTTATGGAAACAAGTACAGTGTTCATTCATGCCCAGTGCCTGCATTTTGAAGCAACAGGGCAAAAACCTGTCTCTAATCTTCATGCTTTTGTATTTTGTTACGTACTAAAGAGAGAAATGCTACTGTAAGAACAAAACATAGAAGGAAAAAGATATTGCTACAGATAATGCAACAAAAGTAGTTTTACTTTCAAAAATACTTACTGACTTGCAAGGGTAATGATTATTCATAGTTTAATTATTATCTTTATACAGTACCTGAACTACAATATTTGCCACTRTTTGATAAAAAGTTCAGGGAATTATCCTGATGAATCCTGTAGCTCTGTTCACTGAGCTGTGTTTTACTGCACCTGTTCTTGCTAAAGCAGACATTATCTCTAGCTGCTGAAAGCTCTGAGGCTGTGGATGTATGTAAAATGCTGAGCACCAGGAGCCCAGCAGTCAAAATAATGCCAGGATAGCAATCATCAGTGCAGCTGCTAAACTCATTACATGGACGAAGCACTGTACCTATGGCAAATGACCCCTGCAACGACCTTTAGAGCAAAGCCTTTAGCTTATTAAATTAAAAAGTAAATTTATAGTATTATATTGCTCTTACTTGCTTCTTAGATTTTTTTTATTCATTTGCTAGTTTTTCCCCCTCTTTAGAGTCTTCATTCTGACTCGTAACAGAAACTCCCTAAATATATTCTAAAATATTATTTAAATTACGTAGCTTGAACAAGCAATGTTTTCCTCCGAATCTGGCTATGAATAWCTGATAGCACTTTAAATTCTAAAGTTTGCATAAAAAAATAGGACACTTCCCTATTCTTTTTCAGCCTTGCTTAAAAAAAGCTGCTCAGCGAAGTCTTCAAATGTTCACAGAGATTTAGCTTCCTGAAAACCAGCTGTACAACATTTCAATGCCATCAGACAGCTCCAACCATGCTGACAGAGAAAAGTAAGGCTTCTAATTGTTTCACAGCTGCTCTTAATACTGAGAGCTGTAGGCCTGTCAACTGCCTCAACAGAAATTTATTACCATGATTCCTATCAATCAAGGTTATTTCCCCAAAAAAGAAAGACACAGCTAAAAGTATTTTGAAACCTTAGTTCAGTGCCTCTAGGAATCACAGTAGCCTGCTGTGCACAAGGAAATTAAACTTTGACTAGCCTTCCTACAGTATCTGGAAAATGGGCTCTCTTCCACTGTCCTTTTATTTCTACTGCTGCTTTGGGGTTTTGAGCCATGCTAGGAGAGCACCTCTGGGGGTGCTCAAACACACCTAGTGACTTCAGATGCAATCAGCCCCTCCGAGCTGATGTCAAAACTATGACAGCCCTTTCCAAAATTCCCTTGGCACCTCAGCAGTTGGTCAAATTCTGGCCCAGTGGACTCAGCAGAGCAGGAACAGTAGTTTCTTAAGTTCCTCATACTATGGAAAAGAAATAGGTCTATGATTTTTCCCTTTCTAAAAACAGAACTGGATTTGCAAATGGTGGTTAACACACTACCCGATGATGACTGTATCATGCTGTACTTTATGCCTGGTTAATAACTGCCTGCAGCCTGCTGCTGATCAAAACACTTCTGCTGCCTTCTCCACCCCTCTGCCTTCCCCTACCATAATAAATAAGAAGTATATTTATCAGGATGACTGAGGGGAAACATTTTTCAAGTCTTTAATGCTTTCAACTTCTTCAGACATATTTCTTACCCGGTGGAAGTCATGGACGATATCAGCAGGATCGCTATCAGCAAACTCAGGGACTGGCACACTGATAAATTCAACATCTTCCTCCTCCAAGATCTGAATATTTTGCTCAATTGTGTGGTAGCGAGCACTCTGAGCCTCTGCCCCAGGCTCAGGTAAACGTAAGCCATCTTCAATGTACTTTATTCCACAGAAATACACGCCACCCTGCTAAAAATAGTAAACAACCCAGCAACAAAAAGATCAGTAACTTAGAAATTTAAAAGTAATATTCCCAGAGCACCGAAGAAAAGAAAAACTTGTCAGACTAAATGATTTTTATTTCCTTTAATTTGGTTATACACCGAAGTAGGAGCCAGTTGCTATCTACAACAGGACTATGGCTAAAACCTCGATTATACTCAACCCAGAGATAGTTCTTCCCTTGAATTCAAGGAAAACAGGATCCCATAAGCAAGTTAAAATCTAGTCTTACACGTATTTTTAGAAAGACAATGAAGTTCCCACATCTATATGTATGCATATTATTATTAAATCATGATCCAACTGTAGTCAAAATTACAATTAAAAACATTGGAACTGGTCATCCAAATTAACTTTAAGAAGCAAGTCTAACTCTAAATTTGGTTCTGCTTGCAGCAGAGGGTTGGACTAGACAATTTCAAGAATTTCATATTCAAATTCTGTGAAGTTGCTTAGTTTTACAAGACCTCAAGGGTCTGGAAAGTCAGTTTCTAAAATAATTTTTAAATCGTTTTAAGAGATGGCACATGGCAGGCTACCTAAGTGAAGCGTAAAATACAGCTGTAAGTCAGAGGAAGTCATATATCTAATTTACAGGCCAAATAGTTTTAGAAATATGCAACTTATGCATATGCACATGACATCAATTTGAAGTTTTTGAAAACGTGTCTTCAGTGCAATGTTAGCTCAATTTCTGCATGTTACCTTTAATRTAGATCTGACTCATATACGAGCAGCACAGGTCTGAATTAAATGGCACTCACTGGCAGATGAAAGGTGTAACACCCAGTGCTGAGCAGGGGTGAAATGAGCATTAGAAATGCAGCCAGCCTTCAGCTCCTCAGCTCGTTAATCCACCGGGATAAGCTGTGCTGTTTAAGCATCATCRTTTGCAACACTACTGCTCCACTGTAAATTTGGTTAAAGTGATAGCCAAAGAGACTACAAACTGCAAGTTCAGCTAGAATTTCTCAAGTTTAATCACTTGGCTTTCCCACATTAACAGCTAGTAAAATGGAGGAAAAGCAACAATCCTGCTATCAAGGACAAGAACGTGAATTTTTACCTTATAATTAGGTGCACTAAGCAATGGGGGAAGAGAGATTCATGTTTTGCTTATCCTCTCCCTTTCTGGCTCTGTGATCTTGCAAGCCCAGCAGTTTCTGAAGCCACGAGGGTGTGCTTGCACCACCTGGGCAACAGTCCAGCACATCCAGCACTGCCCAGTGACAACTGCCCCCAAGGGAGACAATACAGAGCTCAGATCTCCCATGTTTCAGGTAAATGCTCCACTTCCCTGGCACTGCTGCCTTCACAGAGCTCCTCTTGCAGGAGTGCCATTTGTTAAAGACTGAAAATACATTTTGTTAGAGGTCTAATCTTGTCAGTGTGGATTAGACTTGACAGAGCATGTTTAAACCACACTGACTGCTTTTTCCAAGTCCCCTGCAGGGACTATGTTCTTATCCATAGGTGGAGGATAGGGAAGAGGAGAGTCACCATGTTGCTTTGAAAGCACTCCCTTTCCTGCACATTAGCAGAACCACATGCCTTAAGAAACCTGGGATCAAACAAGGAGGCTTTCAAGGGCTTAATCCACTTCCAGTATTTGGCACTGCAGAAGAGAATACAGAGCAGATGAAAATCTGGGACACCACTGGGGTTTCTAAACCCAAGTCCGTTTAGATACAATGTTTTCTCTGCAAAGTGACATTTTCAAAAGGATTGCTCCCTGCTATTTGTCAGCTTCACTTCCACCCTCCTCTGCTGATAGGTAACTTCAGAGAAGGCCATACTCTGGCATTTAGAAGAGCTGAAGKTTCGAAAAGAAAAAAATAGTTTACGATCTTTGCTTTAGCCTGTTGGTCCACTTCTAAATGTAACACAAAAGAGGAGTCTGTTGCTCTTCTTCCCACAGAGAAAATCAGCTCTCTCATAACAAGTATGTGACTTACCTGGAATGCAAAATATTTGTACAGATAGGCACCACCCAGGAACACACCAGCCAGCATAAAGGCCAATCCAAAGCACATGCACCAGCACCAGGCCCTTCTCTGTCCAACAGGCACCGCATCCACAGGGTCCTGCAAGGCATCAGAGAGGGACCTTCAACACACTGCTCCCAAGGCAGGTAAGACAGCAGAAAACTTCAGGCCCAGTAAGTACAAACATTGCATCCACCAGAAAAGGCTGTATGCACTTTAGCATAACTGTTCAGAAAATTTTACTTTGGTAAAATTGAAAACAAGTCTATTCAAGTTAAGGTTTAGTAAAATKTATACTATCAGTAACTTTTAATGCTATCATCACTGACTAAATCAGCAGACTTAAGAGAAAAATGTAACAAAATCTCCTGAGATACCTAATAATACACAATGAGCCACTTCACAGGCTGCAGATAGAAAAATATCCCTTCTCAGGCAACCTCCATGCAACAACAGCAGAGCGAGGAAGCCAACTTGGAAAGGTCAGATTCTTTTTTACCTTGGTATATGCAACATAAGTGAACCTGAAGAACCGACAAAAGACCAAAGGTAGTAAGAACAGCAAAATATAACCTTTCCTATGTTGTTTCCAGAATGAAACAGCCTTTACCATAACTTGGCTGGCAGAATAGCAAGAGAGGGAATGAAAAAAAGATGCTTTGTAGGTTGTTAGGGAAGCTTTCTGCTCTAAGACAGCATTTGCCATGCTTCTATCTGCTGTTCATGTAATAGTAAAGGAATGACAGGATGTTTCCCCTTTAGGGCACTAGTTTGCATAWCCACGCAGTCCCGAAAGGCATCCTAAGCAATAAACTGGTGCTTACAAAATCTTTCCTCTATCAGCCACATTACAATGCTCTTTCCTCCCCCAAGTGTTTGCATAACCCATATCCAAAGCGAAAAGAAGAAAGTTACCAAAAATAAAAAAATACAGCTACCCTGTTCAAGCCAGGGTAATCCTGGGAAAACATCTGAATTCAAATAAATACAAAGAAATTCATTACCCTTTTGCAACCACAAAATAATAACACAGAATGAGAACCAGGGCAAAATCATTGTGACCAAATGAACAGGAGACACCACATCAGAAAATTGGGAAGAGCATGATGGGAGCGCTTGAGAAGGTTTTGACAGGTAAAGTTGCTGGCCCATGTCCTGCCTGAAGCGTTGGATCTTTCTGCTGTATTTGCTAATTAAGATGATACCCCACTTGAACAAAGTTGTGGGTATAGTCCCCAGCTGCCTTGGGCCAGTTGGGAAGGAATTCCCCTTATCTAGCTGAAGCCATCTAAGCAAGTCTGACACCAGATGGAATAAGAAACCTCCCTGTAAATGATGGGAGAAAGTGGCACTTCCTGCAAATGACTCAGCCATCCCAGAGGGTTAAGTAGAATTTTGGAGGGACTTAGTTCTTTTTACTGATTATAGAGGGAAATTCCTTGGTTAATAAAAGTTAGGTACACGTTTCATATGCAGCTAAAATTTAGTGATGTGAAACCCACCTTTACCGTACACTGCAATTATCTTTCATACAGAAGTGGCAATGCAGCTTCTTTGCCAGGCAACAGCTGCCAAAATCTGATTCAGAAATATTTAGAGTCAAACTGAAGACATTTCACACATTTTATTTTACTTTACCTTGCTAAATACCACAGTAATCCAGACTGTGAAAAATCCATCTTTGGAGGTTTCAAGACTCTACTAGAGAAAGCCATGACTAATCTTGCTTTGGCAACCATTCTGTTTCTCAAGGGAGGCTGCAGCAGATGACTTCCAGAGGCTCCCTTCAAACCAACATTTCTGGGATACATTACAAGGCAAAGTGAGATCAGCAAAAAAACATTTGCTGTGGACTGAAAAGGCAGAATGTGAAGAAAATAAACAACATTTAAACACCTTTGCAGTACCAATTACTTAAGGAATTCAGTGTAAAAAATTGCAGGATTACTAGCTGCCTGATTTTTAACCTGGCTCTTTGCAAAGATTGAGAATAGGACATAATACCCATGTTAATCTAATTAACACTCAGGTCAGGTTGAGAGTCACTGTGGATTCTCCTATAAATCATCTCAATTATACATCTAAACCAGGTAAACCAAGGATTTTATGTTGATATGTTTTATCATTAGGTAACTATCTCCCCAGATATTTCAAAGCATACAGGACACACAATTGAAACTTTATATAATAGCTGTCATTTAAACCATTTAAAGTTAACATCGGGGAAAAGGGATATCAAACTGCCTCCTGGATACAGTATCAAAATATTCCCTAGAGAATATAAAGAGTGTCTTTATTCCTTCCCAGTGCTGCTTTTATCCCCCGTACTTTTTTAACTTCAGACAGAATTATCCGTTAGTAGAATAACTGCCTCTTCCATTTGTTTTCATTATTGCATAAATTCAGAAAGACTAAGAAAACATGCACCTGGGAAAGGTGCGGAAGGCATACACAGTATGCTCACCTCCCTGGAAATGGGGTTCATGTCAGATCAATTTTCCATAGGCCACAAAAATAATCAGAGAAAAAGAAAGTAACTTTTACATTTTTAACATGCCAGGAGAAACCTGAAGGACAAGTTTATTAGTACTCCACCCTAAATAATTTTGCTTTGATATATGAGATGACAGATGTAAACAACAGGTTTAATACAACTCTTTTATCCTTTACCACCAGCTAAAGGCTATCATTATTGTGTCTGAAGGTGTCCTTGGTAGTGGAATGTTAAGCTATTCTGTATTTGTAGTTAACTATTGCACGGATTAGTCCCCAGCCTACCAAAAACAGCCCACCAAATTTAGAGCAAGAGTTCAAGCCCAGTTTAGGCTCTTGATTAGGCGAATGCATGAAAGCACAACATCTCAGTATAGGCAGTTTAAAACCAGCTTGAATTAAAATATAAATAACTTACTGAAGATAATTATACTCATTTTTGTAGCTGGCCTGTGGCTTAGCTCTCCAAGCTTTTGTATTGTTGCCATGACAGCTTAGTTTGGGCTGTATTGACCCAAAAAGAATAGTTTGTCCCTTGCTATATAAATCTGACCCTCTGCACAGCAAGAGAAGAAAATGCAATGGATGCTCACCTTCCTTCCAGGTGACTCATGTTCTGAAAAAAAAGCCCCATTAAGTGAAAGCAGATCCCCACTAAGAGGGACAGTGCTGAATTAGCGCTTCTCCCCGTATGGTTACAACCGCACTTTGTTCCGAGGCAGCAGTGATGGCTTCTGAAGCCAGAGCACAACATGAGACTGCAGCCTCAATGACTAATTTTTCTCTAGGCCAGTTTTCCACTGCCAGAGGTATCTCACAAAGAAAGCATCATGTACTTGAGGTGAAGACTGACCTGTAAAAAAACACCTCTCTACTTCTGTGAACAGTAATAATTAATCATTACTACCCTGATCGCTTTCTTTCACCCCTTCTGCTTCATCCCTGCCCCATGTATTTTCAACTCCCTTGTGAATCCTCAGCCTTAAGATGATGCCACAAAACTCATCTCTGATGCGAAATGCCTTAGGAGGAACTGGATGTAAGCCCAAAACTGGCTTGTTTCCCTTGATGAGCTGATTGTTCTAATTGGAAAACATTTGATTAGCCTATTTCCCATGGATAAGACATGAAACAGAAGCATCTCTGCCACTTGTACACTAAATCCTACAGCGTTGAAATTCAACGGTTCAGAACTTCCCAACCTGAATAGCTTCAAACACCGCAGTAACAATTTTCCTTTCTGACAGAAAACAAGTATTAAATTCTCAATTATTTGAGACTAGCAAGATTCAAATCTAAAGTCTTCTCACAAAGAAGTGACAAGATGACTGCAGTTTTCAGTACAGGTCCCTTCATCAGTGACCACACCAGCAAATGTAGATCTTCTGTCTTCTTACTAAAACCATGAAACACTTCTGAGATGGGCGCACGATACCACAAACTGTTTACCAGAACACCTCTCAGCCATGCAGAGATCTTCACAAGAATATCTTTATGACAAATAGCATTAACTGTTTTGCAGTAGATTAAAAAAAAAGTTAATAACCCCTAAAACCTGCAAACATTAGCAGTTAATAAAGGCTAATGGCCATATATTCTCTTGCTCCTTTCTGCTCAATTTTAATGCTGCTTTTTTTTTTTCCTCTAAATAAATGCTGAATTTTAGAACTGCCAAATTCATGTTTGGGGTAATATCACAAATGTATTCTAAGAAGTTCCAACAATGAGCCACAAATGCATATAATTAGACTTGGTAATTATTTAGATTTTCCCCTTGTGGCTTTTTGTACATCGTAGAATATAATTGCTTTAACATCATAAAAATAAAACAGTCTATAAACTTACAAGGCATATGTCTAGTTCATACTAAAATAAGTGAGAAAATTATCAGGCCTTGTTCCTTAGCAGAAATTAAGGACACATCTATCTAAACATCAGATATGATGGACAACATCATATCTGTGAGAAGTCCAGAAAAAATGCAGGCTGTTGGACAACTATGCAAAAGATAATGTCCCAAATTTAAAAATAGATACAACAGCAATTAAAATAATTTTGGGATGGGAAAATGTCTTTCAGAATGAACAGTCTTTGATCCACAGAGAAACAGATGTAGAACATTTACAAGTATTACAAATATTACTAAAGATGTCTGCAGTATAATACRCAAAACGTCCATAATTATGCATGTGAGAATAACATCTAATATGTATACACAAACACAACTATAAAAGTTTACAGTTAATATGGGTAGAACTGGCTGGAAGCTGTTAAGTACAATTTTCCTCCAAGGTCCTCTGCGTGCYACTTAGCTCACATGGATGGACAGAACACAGTGGGGCAGACTGAGCTTACTGAAGGCAAATATTGACCAACTGCAGCTTTAATTAGTGGAACGGGAAGAAGGGAAGTTAATGATGACTCCCTAGAAGTGTTTTTTAATGAGAGAGGCTAAAACGTCTTGAAATAAAATACTGACCAAAGGCTGTATAAACTGAATTCTGTTGGTCAGGCTTGCCTGCTCTGACTTGTAAATCAGACATCTGTAGAAAATCCCCACAAAGACAGTCAATTTTAAATGAACTTATTTTAGAAAGAGCTCTGCA